GATAGTGTTTAAATACATTGAACTGTAGGGGTCAGGTAGAATTTGTATTATATTAGAAAGGTATCTTAAGATACTTCATAGACCCTTGATTTCTGAGATGCTCTAAAGATCATCTGGCCCAGTTTGATTCTCACAGGTGTTTCTTCTAAAATATCTGTGACAGATGGCTCTCCAGGTCTCTCTGAGCAGTTTTGAGAGGCAGTTCGTTTCATGGTTGATCATCTCTAATCGTTAAAATTCTTCCTCATATGTAGCTTAAATCTACGAATGCACCTTCTCATTGTTCCGAGTCCCATTCTTTGGAGCAGTACAGAGTAAGTCCAATCCGCCTCAACATTTGAAGATCTGTCTCTTTATATCCTTACTCTCCTTGTCTTCAAGTTAATCCTCCCATCAGTTTATTCATATTGTATGGTTAGTTGACCTGTCTCCAGGATGCAGTTTATGAAAAGTCCTCCTTAAAACATATCTTTCTCAGAAGAATCCTGTCATTGTGCTGGGAAAATGCCTAACGTTGTCATAGACAATGAATTTTGTAAATTTTGGTTTTTGTTTGGCTAGGGATTAATTGTAATTGATGTCTACATAATCTGAAAAGTTTATTTCCCATTTCTCTTTAATTCAGTCTTTATTGGTCATTACAGGCTTTTGGTCTTTGATCATTCCCCATGTAGCAGTTCATTCTGAGTTTATTTGATAGTTTCTGGAAGCTAAAATACTGAACTGAGCAGTCAGGAGAGGCCAGGTGGTGGTTTTATTTTTGTCTTTTTTGTACATCAGTATGATTTCTGTTCCTAAATTATCGTTTTGTTACAGTTGTTTATGTTCAGCTTTGTAGTTGTTCAGCTTGTTGCCAACAGCATTTTCTAGTTCTTCAGCTACAAAATGCAGACATTGTTCATATCTTTTTGTCATGATGGGAAATGCATCATGTTTCTTGTAGTTATTAATAATATAATTCTTAAGTTTTCTTTTCATTTTTTTTTTTTTTTGGGATGGAATCTCACTCTGTTGCCCAGGCTGGAGTGCAGTGGTGCGATCTCGACTCACTGCAAGCTCCGCCTCCTGGGTTCACGTCATTCTCCTACCTCAGCCTCCCGAGTAGCTGGGACTACAGGCGCCTGTCACCACACCCGGCTAGTTTTTTGTATTTTTGGTAGAGATGGGTTTTCTTTTTTTTTTTGTTTTTTTGAGACAGAGTCTCTGTCTGTCACCCAGGCTGGAGTACAGTGGCGCAATCTCCACTCACTGCAAGCTCCGCCTCCTGGGTTCATGCCATTCTCCTGCCTCAGCCTCCAGTGTGGCTGGGACTACAGGCACCCGCCACCACACCTGGCTAATTTTTTTTTTTGTATTTTTAGTAGAGGCAGGGTTTCACCATGTTAACCAGGATGGTCTCGATCTCCTGACCTCGTGATCCACCCGTCTCAGCCTCCCAAAGTGCTGGAATTATAGGTGTGAGCCACTGCGCCCAGCCAGAGATGGGTTTTCACCGCGTTAACCAGGATGGTCTTGATCTCCTGACCTCGTGATCCTCCCACCTCGGCCTCCCAAAGTGCTGGGATTACAGGCGTGAGCCACCGCGCCCAGCTATTCTTAAGTTTTCTAAACAGAGTTCTTTAAATGTTCTTTTAGACCTTTTGAACACATACGGACTTTCCTATGCTTGCTTTTGGTGGTTGTTTGAGATGGGAGAAATATTCTATTTTTATTCTAACTAAAATTGTTAGTCTTAAAAGTTTTTAGAATAATAATTGTCAACATCTTATTGAACACTTACTACATATGAGATATTTTGCTAAGCACTTTTCATACTATATAGTATCTTGTTGTAAGTATATAAATAAATTTAAACATCTTATGAGTTAGGTATTATTGTTATTCCCATGATAATGATGAGGATTTAAAACAGTGAGAGTGAATAACTTGTACTGGGGCATGCAGTTGGTAAGTGGCAGGACTAAGACTTGAACCCAGGCAGTTGACTGTTGGAGCCCATATATTTAGCCACTGTATTTATAACTGGTTTCTGGTAATAGCATTATAAAAGAGCTGTCTTGCTATTATGACTGTTATAGCCCCTTGTATCAAAATACACGTTGATCACTTTTTTAAAAAAAATTTAATATTTTTCAGTATTTTAAGTCTGTAGTTTAAAATACAGTGTTACCAGAGGCCACAAGTGATTGCAGGACATTCTGGTTTTACCTTAGCTTTCAATTAGGACCATGTAGTAGAATGATTTTTAGGGAGTTATTTTAAGGCGAATAAATAAATGGAAATTCTCAATTTTAATTTCTAATTTGGTAAATATCAGTAGATATAACACATGTAAACAGAAACTCTTTGTGATCCCCAAAGTATAAAGGGGTCCTGACACCAAAAACTTACACTTCTTTAGATTAGTTGTATCATAGAATATTAAAGAAAATCTTGACCTAGGAATAAAAATCAAGACCAGATTTTGTATATTGAGTTACTACTTAGCCATGAAAAGGAATGAAGTCATGTCTTTGCAGCAACATGGATGGACCTGGGAGTTATTATATTCAGTGAAATAACTCAGAAACAGATAGTCAAATACTACCTATTCTCTCTTACAAGTGGAAGCTAAATAATAGAGTGTGGGGTAATAGGCATTGGAAAAGCAGAAGGGTGTGAGGGTGGGATGGGGATGAAGGATGAGAAATTACTTAATGAATACAATATACATGATTCGGGTGAGGATTACAGTAAAAGCCCAGACTTCACTACTAAGCAGTATATTCACATAATAGAATAGCACTTGTACCTCTGAAATTTATACAAATAAAAATAAAAATATTAAAAAATTAAATGAACCATTTTTATTACTTACCAAATATATGTATTTTTTTGAATTGTGTAATCAGGAGACTGGAACCTACTGAACGACCTCTTCAGATCGTTTATGATTACTTATCCAGGCTGGGATTTGATGATCTTGTGCGCATACAGGAGGAGGCTACAAATCCTGACCTCGGCTGTATGATTCGATTTTATGGTGGTAAGAATTTATCAGTGGCTTTGTATGTTAACTACTTTTAAGTTGATCATTTGTGCCTCTATCTGCTGTCAGCTTTTTAAAAGTATTTTATCAAAATCAAGTTTTAAGCCAATTAACTAACGTAGTTAACACCAACCAAACAATAATAAAAACCAAGAGGTCAAGGATAAGGGAACACTTTAAAAATATCTTCTCTTTTTATTTTTACTTATTTTGCACTTGTATTTTGCTAACTTACTAGCATGATTTTATACCTTTGCCAGAATCTTGACTGGATCATGCTTTAGTAAATTATTTTTTCAAGCTCCTGGTAAAGCCTCTAAACTTCTGGATAGCTCAGAAATGTTGAGAGTAAGTAGTTATTATCATATATAACTTGACGTTGATGAATATACCTGTCAAATTTATATATTGGTGAATTTAGTGGGGTTTAAATCTAGGATTTTTGACTTCTGAGAAAAATATTTTAAGATGAATTTCAAGAACACAACCCATCTATCACTATAATACTTAGTTAAAAAAACAAAAACTTGGAACACAACAATTTTCTTATTTGATTGTGATTGAACCCTAGTTCTGCATTATGGTAGCCCCCCCTTGTCCATGGGGATTACATTCCAAGATCTTTAGTGGACAACTGAAATCACAGATGGTACTGAACTCTATATATACTATGTGTTTTCCTGTATACACATACTTGTGGTAAAGTTTAATTGATAAATTAGGGTAAAGTAAGAGATTGACAATATTTAATAATAATATAATTATAGCATTATACTGTAATAAAAGTTAGTGAATAGTCTGTCTCTCAAAATATCTTGTCCTATACTTACCTATTTTCAGACCATGATTGACTGCAGATAACTGAAACCTTGGAAAGCAAGACCACAGGTGGCGAGGGGGCTACTGTGTATATTTTTGTTCTAGAGTGAAAGTTGAACTTTTCTTTTACATGCAGTTAAATTGCACAGTGGTTGGCTCTGATGCCCCTACTTTTCCTACCACCACCTGATAAATTATAGCATATGCAGGATCTTAATATACTATACCCTTAAGAGGATATTTCCAGTAGAATCTAAAAGAGTACCAGTTTGTAGTACTTAAATTTTGAGGGGTCTTTCCAAAAGTAAGCTCTGTTGATGTAGAAAAGCTGGTATAGTTTGAGTGAGAAAATTAAGTTTGGGATGAAACTTAATAATCTTTGAAAATAGGCAATAATGCACCTGGTACCAAAAACAGAATTTGGATAGATCGATAGATGAATTAGTTATCTGTTGGCTCTGTAACAAATTGCCTCAAAACTTAGGACTTAAAATGGTATAATAAATACTTAATAATTATGTAGTTTTTTGTGGGCCAGAAATCTAGGAGCAGTTTAGCTGGAGGGATAGTCCTGGCTTGGGTTTCATGAGATTTTGGTCATCTGAAGGCTTGAGTGGGGCTGGAAGATTCACTTTCAGCATGGTTCACTCACCAACTGCTGGTAGGAGGCCTCAGTTCCCTCTTCTGTGGATCTTTCCATAGGGCTTCCTAGATGTCTGAGGCAGGAGAATGGCGTCAACCCAGGAGGTGGAGCTTGCAGTTAGCCGAGATCGCAGCACTGCACTCCAGCCTGGGCGACAGAGTGAGACTCTGTCACAAAAAAAAAGAAAAGAAATGAGTCACTAAACACAGCCCATACTATAGAGAGAGGAATTAGCTCCAGTGTTTGAAAGGAGGAGTGTCAAAGAATTTGTGGGTCTGTTTTTTTTTTTTTTTTTTTTTTTTTTTTTGAGACAGGGTCTTATCCAGTTGCCTAGGCTGTATGTAGTGCAATGGTGCCATCATGGCTCACTGCAGCCTCAACCTCCCAGGCCCAAATGATTCTCCCACCTCAGCCTCCCAAGTAGCTGGAACTACATGCACACACCACTGCACCTGGCTAATTTTTGTATTTTTTGTAGAACTGAGGTCTCGCCATGTTGCCCAGGCTGGTCTCAAACTCCTCGGCTCAAGTGATCCTCCTACCTTGGCCCCCTAAAGTGCTGGGATTACAGGCATGAGCCATCATGAGCAGCTAGATCTATAATAAAACTGATGCAGGATTTTTTCTTGACGCCTTTATGGGACTTGTGACAGTCGTGCCCCCTTTACTCAGCCCACCCTGTTCATCCCTTGTGGGAAGGGAATGTGCAGGTGAATGAGTGTGGAAACTGGCTAGCTGATTGGACACTGGTGGGAACAAACTGTGTTCATTGGGTTCTGTTGTACTCCACCCTTTGTGGGATGTAGCACATAGAAGAGTGAGTGCAGGAACTGGCTGTCTGCTTTAGCACCAGCAGGAATAGATTCTTTGCAGGCTTGCGGCAGCGTCCAGGTGGGGGTGTCTGTGATCCCAAGGCCCCAGAGGACATGTTATAATGCTCTCTTAGCTCCGTCATCTGCAGACAGCAGTGTGTTATCAGCTCAGTGTTCCTTTTGCCTTGTTGCATAGGGCGGCTGCTGTCCACCAGCGAGGGCAAAGAGCCAGTGTGACAGTCTTTTTGAATACCAGCACTTGGTGTGTCTCGAATTCTTGTCTGGTGCCCAAGAGGAATGAGGTCATGCGGACAAATTGAAGGATGGTGAATGCGGAGAATTTTATTGAATGAAAACTGCTCTCAGTGAAGAGTGGAGCTGGAAAGGGGATGGGAAGGGCAGGTCGCTCTCCCCTGAAGCTTCTGTCTTCTGAAGTCAAGTCGCCTCTCCCTGATGTCCGGCTGCTTGTCTTCTCTGCTGGCTGAGTCTAGGGTCTTTATAGGCACAGGGTGGGAGATGCTGTAGGTAGTTTTGGAAAAGGCAACATTTGATTGGTAAAAAGACATTATTCAGAAAGAACCATTCGGGAGAGAGCAGACAAATAGGGATGGGAATTCTCACTTTGGGCCACAAGTTTCAGGCTTTTCAGCTTGCAGGTGGGGTTTTGCTGGGGACCCGCCTCTGTCTGCCTGGAATTTCTCTGCTTCCTGCCTCTATCAAAACTATCATAGAAAATATGCTTCCCTGTCACCTTTTTCCTCCAACCACCCAGTTCCTGAAACCAGACACAACTATTGTTAACCGAAGGAAAGAGTTGAAGTATTCTCTTTGAAGTAAATAGCTTAGTAATCAGCTTTAAATATTTTATGTGTAGAATTTTTGGTGCATTATCTTAGTTGGATTATAGTGTTAATAAGGTCAAGGTCATAAGGGCCTGAGTGCAAACCAGTTAATGTTGTGTTCTCTGGTTATAAAAGGACACTGGGTAGTGTCCCAGTCAGCCATTATGCAAATGCCAGTTATCAGTCTTGCTGGAGAGGGAGTGCTAGGGGAAAAGTGAGTGGAATGACTCAGTTCAAATTCATGATGTAAAAGCTGTGGAAATAACATTTCACTAAAGTCAGGTTGAGTAGGTAGCATGATTAATCATGGGATTAAGAGAACATATAAATCCTCTGCAGCCAATTAAGCCGACTGTGTTCCTTTCCTCATGGGGGCTCAGTGTGCAATGGCTGCACACAGTAGCTTCCTTGGTAGTGTACTCAGCCTGTTTCTTGTATGGGTTGCTCTAAGGGACCTTGGAGACAGGCCTTTCAGATGGATGTTCATGTCTCTGACTTTGCACTATCCCCAGTCTAGGCTCCAAACAGGTATGCGAGGTGCCTTTGGAAAGCCCCATGGCACTGTGGCCGGGGTTCACATTGGCCAAATTATCATGTCCATTTGCACCAAGATGCAGAACAAGGAGCTTGTGTTGAGGCCCTATGCAGGGCCAAGTTGAAGTTCCCTGGCCGCCAGAAGATCCACATCTCTAAGAAGTGGGGCTTTACCAAGTTCAGTGCAGATGAATTTGAAGACATGGTGGCTGAGAAGCAGCTCATCCCAGATGGCTGTGGGGTCAATTACATCCCCAACAGTGGCCCTCTGGACAACTGGCGGCGGGCCCTGCACTCGTGAGGGCTTCCACTGTGCTGCCCCCTCTTAATGCTCGCCAATGAATCCTACTTCCTGTTCACCTTAAAAAAAAAAAAAGAGAGAGAGAAAGAGCAAACCCCTTGTGTTGGAGAAAGTGGCATACAGAGAGTATGATTTGTTAGGGAAGTTGTAGCTCTGGGACTGTATAGCTCAGGTAGCACAACTCTGTGCCTGAACATTTCTCTGTGTACTACATTCTCTGCACACATTGTTTAAAACAGCTTTGTCAAAAGAGCATAAATACAAACATCAGAAGCCAGATGCAAAGTAATTACATCGTATGTTTCCATTCATTTAAAGTTCAGAAAACGGGCTAAACACAGCCATATTGTTTTGAAATGTGTGGCAATACTATTCTTTATCAAAATCTGTTCTTTCATAATAACAAAATTGTAGTGGGGCATATAACTGCCTGGCTACAGTCCATTTTGCAGCTTCTCTTGCGGTTAGATGTGTACATGTAACAAAGTTTTCTTCCATGGTATGGAGTGGACTTGATGTGCGCCACTTCTGCCTGTGCACACAAACCCCCAGTGTGTGCTTCTCGGGGCTCTAGTGCTCTTTTCCGCTCTGGTGGGCTAGGATGGCAATAATCAGAGCAATAATTGAAGTCAAGTGTGGAAAATTGCAGACCCTGAGTTACTTTTAAAAAAAAAAATTATTTATTTATTTTTTGAGACAGAGCCTTGCTCTGTCGCCCAGGCTTGAGTACTGTGGTGCCATCTTGGCTCACTGCAACCTCCGCCTCTCAGACTGAAGCAGTTCTCCTGACTCAGCCTCCTAAGTGACTGGGATTACAGGAACCCACCACGACAGCTGGCTAATTTTTCTATTTTTAGTAGAGACAGGGTTTCACCATGTTGTCCAGGTCTCAAATTCCTGACCTCAAGTCATCCGCCTTCCTTGGCCTCCCAGAGAGCTGGGATTACAGGTGTGAGCCACTGTGCCTGGCCAGAACCTGAGTTTTTGAATGACAGTGTTGACGCCTGGTAAAACAGAATGCTGACTTGAATGAATTAAATTCCCGTTGCTTGAGCCATTATATTCTGTTTGCTACAGCCATAGTTAATACAGGACATTTACAAAAGTGGCAAAAATAACAAGAGAGCCAGGAAATTATTATAAAAGTCAAGGGAGTGACTGAGGAGTGCAGGGAAGAGGACATGATTCTTACAAGTAGAATTTTTTTTTTTTTTTTTTTTTTTTTTGAGATGGAGTCTCACTGTGGCCCAGGCTGGAGTACAGTGTTGTCCAGGCTGGGTGCAGTCTCGGCTCGCTGCAGCCTCTGCCTCCTGGGTTCAAGCAATTCTCGTGCCTCAGCCTCTCAGGTAACTGGGACTACAGGTGCCCACCACCATGCCTGGCTAATTTCTGTATTTTTTAGTAGAGACGGGATTTCAGCATGTTGGTCGGGCTGATCTCGAACTCCTAACCTCAGGTGATCCACCCACCTCGGCCTCCTAAAGTGCTAGAATTATAGGCATGAGCCACTGCGCCCCGCCACATTTAAAATTTTGACTCAGCATTCCTAAATTGCACAAATAGGTGTTACTAGTGTATACTCGATTTGGTAGAATTTGAGAGTACTTATTTCCCTACACCTTTGACAACGTCAGGTATCATTGTTAATCTTTGTCCCAATTGCAAAAATACTATCTCATGTTACTATGCATATTTAAAGCTTCTTTGTTAAAATATAGGAGGAACGTGGTAGAAAAGCATTCCACCACCCTAATACAATTACTTTTATGATTGTGTATTTTCTTAGTCTTATTTTATATGTATATTTTATATTTTTATTCATATATTTTTGCTTTTCAAACATTTGGTTTTTAACTACACAAGTGTAATATGAATATGGTGTCATTATCTGTGGTGTTTTAATTTGTTATAATTACCTCCTAAGTCCATTAACTGCTCTATAGATAACCACCGTCAATTTGGTGCATACCTGTTCAGAATTTTCCAACTTGATTATTCCTATATAGTATATATTCATAGAACCATTTGGATTTTGTTTATATAAGTGGTATTATTTGGTATTGATCTTCGTGCTTTTTTCACCCAAGAGTTTGTCTTGGAGATCTTAACTTGTCAGCATTTGCAAAACCATCTTCTGTATGCATTTCTTTTTTCTTTTTTTTTTTTTTTTTTGAGACAGAGTCTCACTCTTGTTGCCCGGCTGGAGTGCAGTGGCATGACCTCGGCTCACTGCCACCTCTGCCCCCGGTTCAAGTGATTCTCCCCCCTCCAGCTCCCAGGTAGCTGGGATTACAGGTGTGCTTGCACCACACCCAGCTAATTTTTGTATTTTTAGTAGAGGTGGGGTTTTCACCATGTTGGCCAGGCTGGTCCTTGAACTCCTGATCTCAGGTGATCTGACGGCCTCGGCTTCCCAAAGTGCTGGGATTACAGGCATGAGCCCACTGTGGCACGGCCTGTATCATTCTTTAAGGAGCATGTATTGAACATCGATGTATGCATTATAGTCTGTATAACCATCTCCTTAGTGAAGATATTTACTTTGTTTCCAGTTTTGGATGGTTAAAAACAGCCATGTTAGTAAAATTACTTCTTGTACACCTGCTTCCGTTCAGAGTGATCTCTAAGGTGAAATTACTTGGGTGGATAGGTTGACTCACATTTAAAATATTAATAGTACTACTGCAGTAAACTTATATCCTGTCAGTATAACAGAGTACCCTTTGCCTCCAATATCACCTTTCAGATTATTAGGCTTTTTAAAATTTTGCTAATCCTAATAGATAAAATGATGGGTCTCTTTTGTTTAAATTTCTTTTTCCCTGGTTGCTTAGTGTGGTTGAGAATTTTTCATTGTTTTCTTGGATCTTCGGTTTCTTGAATTACTCCATTGATATTTTGTAACCCCTTTGTTATTTGTTTCTTTTTTTCTTTTTTTCATATGATTTAAAATGCAGCTTCTGCATGTATTCTGGAATGTATATCTTTGGGGTACTGTATTTGTCGATCAATTTTTTCCAGCTGGTAACTTTTTTATTTTATTTAATTGTTTTTATGGTGCATATGTTTAAATTTTTCTTTTAGTGCATTATTTAGTCATTTTTTTTTATTTATTTATTACCTATTTTTTCAGACGGGAGTCTGGCTCTGTGCCCAGGCTGGAGTGCAGTTGGCCGGATCTCAGCTCACTGCAAGCTCCCGCCTCCCCAGTTCCCGCATTCTCCTGCCTCAGCCTCCCGAGTACCTGGGTATCACGGCACCACACCATGCCCGGGCTATTTTTTTGGTATTTTTTAGTAGAGACGGGGTTTCACCGTGTTAGCCACCCCACCCGCCCCCCCTGGATGGGTCTCCGATCTCACTGACCTTTGTATCCGGCCCGTTCAGCCTCCCAAAGTGCTGGATTACAGGCTTGAGGCCACCGTGCCCGGCCGACTATTTATTGAATTTTTGAGATGGAGTCTTGCTCTGTTGCCCAGGTTGGGAATTGCACATGGCATTGATCTCGGTTCACTGCCAACCTTTCGACTCTGGGTTCAGCTGATTCTCCTGCCTCAGGCCTCCTGAGTAGCTAGGATTACAGGCGCATGCCACCACCACCTTGGGTATTTATATTTTAGTAGAGATTGGGGTAGCACCATGTTGGATCCAGGGCTGTCTCGAACTTCTGACTCGTGATCTTGCCGCACTCAGCCTCACAAAGTTGCTGGGATTACAGGCAGAGCCACCTGCCTCCCAGGCAAGGCATGTTTGAATTTTA